ATAATGTACTATAAATGGAAAGGAAATTTCCAGCTAGATACATCAATAACTGTGAAATAGGCATATGCTGCCACCTTGGGGTAGACTCCTTCCCTGAAGCTGAAGGCATCTTGAGTATTGCAACATAAATCAAATTCATGTTTTGCCTGTCATATCCCCACAGGAAGAGAAGTTTCTTAAACCCTTATACTCATGCAGTTATAAGATCTTCCAGATGTCTCCTAGCATCCTTCGCATTATGATTTGCATTGTGGAGAACTGCCATTGTTCTAAATCAAGAGAAGCACAACTTAATGTGTAATTTCACAAGCCTGCTTTAACTTAGTATCACACTGCATCCAAATCAATAAAATGAATGGCTCAACTGTTAAGGCTCTCTTTTGCATGAAGTTCAGCTTGCCTCATGTAAGAGAGATAACGGGATGTATCCATATCTTTATTGGGTCCAACACTCAGAAATGCAAGCGTGGTCACTACCAATTTTGGCTGGGACATTTTGGAAGCTGTAGTCCAAAAACTTCAGCACTTTTTAATATAAATTTACATATTCTGAATAGTTTCAGAACAAATTGCCTTGGATGTCACTGCTGTTAATGACTAAGATATAGCAGTTGTACCATGTTATACTTTGCTTTCCAGTTTAACAGAAACTTTCCAGAACATTCCAGTTTAACAGAAATTTCTCTAAGAAAAACGTAACATAACTTGGGAAATTAATATTAACTGCTATAATTATTAATTGAAACATATTGTATTAATTTATTAGCAAATGTCTATCATAATGGGTAGATAAAAGGTAATGATAATAATAATTCCTCCATGAAGAGAGAGAAGAGGTAAATGCAGATCTCTGACAGGTACTGTTAGAAATGCAAAGCAGGCTTGAGTGCAGTATTTTGTATTTCTGTCCAGGAACTGATGGCAGGCATTCAGTTCTCATCTCACACATAAGCTGATGAACTCAGGGACAGATCTGGGGTGGAGGCTGTTCTTGATAATGCCAGGCATCAGGCCAGCCTCAAAATAGGTTCTGTTTGTCATTCAAACAAAAATGTTAGCAAAAGAGGCTGAATATTAGCAGCTTATATAGAGGCCAAAACACCTGGGGACCCACAGGTTGAGAAACACTGCTCCACACAATCAGGAAGTCTGATGGTCTGGATTATGTGGAGTCTCCCTGTATAAAACATTACTCTTCTGGATACCCCTTCCCAAACAAGAAGGAAATCAATATAGGATTTAGACCTAGCATACTCAACCCTCCTCACACATTCATTATAAGAAACTGAAGATGTGTTGTTGTTCAAAGTTCTGACTACCAACCTAATAAGCCCATCATGTTTTTTCCCAGGATTTGGTTATACTGACTTTTGTTGATAGGAGCTGCAGGAAAAAAATAAAAAGTAGACATGTAAGGAATGCCAATGCCCTTTTCAAATTCATTCAAGATAACAGCACTTGCACATAACTGAGTGTTTTAAAATATTTTTCATAATAATATTCAAATACACTTTGGGTGAGAAAAAAATTGCTATCTGGCTGAAGAGCTAGAAGGAGGTTACCGAGTGACTCGGGCATCTTATCAGCTATAAATGAAAATAACCCTGTAACCAATTAACCTATGTAAAGTGTCCGTATCAGTCTCGTGTTGGTACATTAGCAATATCCGCTTCAAACTAGTACATACTGGAACCTATCACACAGAAGTTTAGGAAAAGACAGAAAGTGAACGGAGGAGGACCTTTAGGACCTCATAAGGTAAGTGAAACTTAGTACAGCACCTCAAGCTCATTTTTAAAAGAAAGATTTAATGCTACATGTCAACTGTAATATATTCAATTCAGCAGCAGTCTCAGATTGTGTGTTTTATTTTTGTTTCAAAGCATTTGAAAGATGGGCACTTTAATTCATTTATACTTCAAAGCAGATCTTCTTTTTCCTCCATGAAGTCATATTTGAAGGGGTGTTGGGAGCTAAGGCTGATTTCCATAGTGCTAAATAATGGTGTAACATTACAATATATTCAAAGATTGTTGTCTTGCACATCTGCAGATTTACTTTAACAACTGTCCTTCCATCTCATCACCTTTTTCAAAACTATTTATGCACAAATAATCTAGGAGTCTTAGCAATCCACAAGCTAAACACATCAGTCTCACATCAATACCAGGCAAGATTCTGGAAAAGCTTGTTAAGAAAGCGGTCTGCAAACACTTAGAAACAATGTGGTCATTGCTAATAGTCAACACGGATTTATCAAAAACAAGTCATGCCAAACTAATCTGATCTCTTTTTTGATAGAGTTACAAGCTGGGTAGATACAGGGAATGCCATGGATGTAGCGTACCTGGATTTCAGTAAGGCCTTTGACAAAGTCCCCAATGACCTTCTGGCAAACAAACTAGTCAAAATGGGCTAGGCAAAACTATGGTTAGGTGGATCTGTAACTGGTTAAATGAACAAACCCAGAGGGTGCTCACCTTCCTTGTCATTCTTTATATTCTGGAAAGAAGTGACGAGCGGAGTGCCATCAACTGGGTTCCGTCCTGGGCCCGGTCCTGTTCAACATCTTTATTAATAACTTAGATGAATGGTTAGAAGGCATGATCATCAAGTTTGCAGATGACACGAAATTGAGAGGGATAGCGAATACTCCAGAAGACAGGAGCAGAATTCAAAACTATCTTAACAGATTAAAGAGATGGGCCAAAACTAACAAAATGAAGTTCAGGAGTCTAGTGTCTAGATCCAGGGAAGTCATGCTACCCCTCTATTCTGCCATAGTTAGACCACACCTGGAATACTGTATCCAATTCTAGGCACTACAAATGAAGAGAGATGTTGACAAGCTGGAATGTGCCTAGAGAAGGGTGACTAAAATGATCAGGGGTCTGGAGAACAAGCTCTATGAGGAGTGGCTTAAAGAGGTGGGCATGTTTAGCCTGCAGAAGAGAAGACTGGGAGAAGACAGGATAGCCATGTATAAATATGTGAGGGAGCTAGCTTGTTTTCTGCTGCCCTGGAGACTAGGATGAAGAGCAATGGCTTCAAACTACAGGAAAGGAGATTCCACCTGAACATTAGGAAGAACTTTCTGACTGTGAGAGGTGTTCAGCAGTGGAACTCTCTACCCCGAAGTGTGGTGGAGGCTCCTTCTTTGGAAGCTTTTAAACTGAAGCTGGATGGCCATCTGTTGGGGGTGCTTTGCAAGGGATTTTCCTGCTTCTTGGCAGGGGGTTGGACTGGATGGCCCACGAGGTCTCTTCCCACTCTATGATTCTGTGATTCTATCAACATTACGATGCAGTGGCAAACGTTAATGCAGCTTAAAGTTAAATCAATAGAAATGTAGGGTACAGATTTGGTGAAATAATAGCACCTCACGTTGTGGTTTAATCAGATCTAAATTGCTGGTACCAAATTTAAGAGAGTTATCAACAAGACATGGTGTGTCCAATGGAGGGTAATAAAATCACAAAGAAACTGGCTCTGCGGTTGAAGAAGTTAAGCATATTTCCTCTGTATAAGAGATTTGAGAAGAAATATCAAGTTATCATGTGCAAAATGGCACAAGCTTCTTTTCAGCTGCTCCGAAGGGCTGGGTATGAATCGGTAGTTTCCAATGACAAGGAGATTCCTATTAAACATTAAAACACCCTCCCTCAAATTATTTGTACCATGTTAGGAACATATAAGCAGTTATTTGTTTCAGACAGTAGCTGGTAGAGGTAAGAAATAGGATTAAGAAGATACTGCGGGCAGAGAACCTATTTTTTTCTGCCCCAGATTATTGCATGTGCAGCCACACCTACTTCGTTTTTAGAACAAAGTAAGGTTGGTTCTCCCAATGCCATGTGTATCTGAATCTAAGTTCAACAGTACAAACCTGTTTACATCTACCATACGCCTGCCGTACTAGGCAAAAGACATGGGAGAGGTCTTCTGTGTTGCAACAGAACACCAGCAGGCTCGTAGCCAGGATTTCGTTTGGGGGGGGGGTAATTTTTTTTCAGGGGGTTGGGGGGGGTGAGTTTCGGGGGGGGGGCTGAGTCTGAGTGAAAGAGGGTCTAGCCTAGCAAACCTTTTTGTATCATTACCCCAATACCCCCATGCATATGGGATATATTGAGTATGGTGATCAGATCATGATATGAATAAACATAACAGTTTAAATAATGCACCAGTAAGGCCTTTTCGTGAACCACCCTGAGAATTTCGGGGGGGGGGGGGGCCCCCTCAAGCCCCCCCCCCCCGGCTACATGCCTGAACACCAGTTATGGGTTTTAGATATGCTTCCCTTAAAAGACCTGTTGGATGCTTATGCTGATGTCATTCTGACATTAACCAGAGACATCAGTTAGACCCCTTGAGATCACTTGATTTGCTCCAAATCTGAACATATGTATGGTTTTTAATTGTCTTCCATTCTTACAACTAGTTTTTAAACCACTTTGTTCTAATTTGCTTTAGTCACTTTAAATCAGCAAAATCTGATTTTAATTGTGTATTATATTGAGATCCAATGATATAGGGTGGAATACTGATGTTTTAGTAAATAAATAGTCTGAAGAAAATTGCACTGAGTTCAATGAGACAACACCCAGGTAGGTGTTTATGATTGTAATCACTTATACTCTGTGACATTTTAATGTTGCCCAATAGCAAAACCCTTCTCATTTTTCAAGGATTTGGAAGACTGTGAGATAAGAATTCAGTATTGGAGATTGGCCTTCTGAAGCATGTTGTGTTGGCTGCCTCATAGTACAGAAGTACTGTTCTCATTCCTCCAAGACAAAAGTACTAAGACAGAAGTACTAAGCCAGACATTTCCTTTCTGAGTACTTTACACCTTCATCTTCTGAATTATGCCCATCTTATATCTGCCATGTTACTGCAGCGCACTACTGTTGCAGTAATCTATTAAGTATTTAACAGAATCAATATATTACTAATATAATATTAATATTTCATTTTTAAAGGAAATCTGAGGAAAAGGCAGTATGTCTGATAACAGCAATATGACCATAAATCTCCTCTTGCTTGGAAGGACACAAAGTGGCAAAAGTGCTACAGGAAACACCTTTCTGGGCAGTACAGATTTTTCCAGTCGTCTTTCTCCGGGATCTGTGACCAGAGTCTGCAGCTTGGGGCGTAGCTCTCTTATTTCAAATTTTGCACGTCGTCAGGGGCACGAGCTAACGATACAGGTCCGTGTGCTAGATACGCCTGGGTATCCTCACAGCAGCTTGAGAAAAGAGCAGGTCGAGCAAGAAGTAAAAACTGCTTTAGTTCAGCACTTTGGAGAGACGGGTCTACACTTGGCATTTTGGGTCTTGAGAGCTGATGTCCCACTATGTGAGGGCGAAGAGGATTCCACTATCCAATTCATCCAGGTAAACAGTGAATCAGCAGGTGTATCAGGGAACAGGCTGAATTTATTTGTATGTTGCATTTATCTGCTACCTTCACTCCAATGAACTCAAGACAACAAACACAGATCTAATTTGATTAGTCCTTCCAACAGCCCTGCCAACCAAATTGCACGGGACAGGGTATTTCACCCAGTGGAGACTACAGTGATTTCCCATGTCCCAATTAGATATTTTAATATAGGGGTGAGCCACAATTGTTTTTGTAGTTCATAATTCATCTAGGCTCCTAACTGCTCTTTTTTGATTCACAAAAGACATGCACTGCCTCTTTTGAAAGTATTCAGGAGCTACACTTCATAATTTAAATTGGTAGCACTGCCCCCTTTAAAATTTAATAAAATGCTGGTTTTCCTAGACCAGAAATTGACTTATATTTCTGGCTTTTTATGTTTCTGTTTTTGGCAGTTTGGGTAATCAGCACAGCCCCTGTAGAGTTCCAGGATAGAAAATTGGCCCCAGAATAAGTATTTCTATCTGTATTTCCACCTCAGAGAAGTACCTCTTGACAATCTTAGAACTGTAATTGGCTCATAAAGGGAGCTATGGTCCTTCAAATAGCCTGGGTCTGAGCTATATAGGGCTTTATAGATAATCACTAGACTTGTGTCCGGAAACAGACTGGCAGCTAGTTGAGCAAAAAGCGAGTTGTGTGCTCCCTGCAGCCAGCCCAAGAACAATCTGGCTGCACCTCTTTGAATCAACTGAAGTTTCTCAGTACTTTTCAAAAGAAGACCCTCATAGAGTGTATTACAGCAATCCGAACAGAATATAACCAAGGCATGTTACCATGGTCAAATATTACCTCTGCAGGAATGGATAGTTTTGGCGGGTACTAGATATAAACATACCACTGCCCAGGCCCGTAGCCAGGATTTCGATTCGGGGGGGGGGGGCTGAGTTTGTTTTGGGGGGGGGCTGAGTCTGAGTGAAAGAGAGTCTACCCTAGCAAATCTTTTGTATCGTTACCCCAATACCCCCATGCATATGAGATATATTGAGCATGGTGATCAGATCATAATATGAATAAACATAACAGTTTAAATAATGCACCAGTCAGGTCTTTTCACGAACCACCATGAGAATTTGGGGGGGGGGGCTGAAGCCCCTCAAGCCCCCCCCCCCAGTTACATGCCTGCCACTGCCAAAACCTGGATCTCCAGATTTAAGAATGTCTTAATTGTATGCCAGAATCCAGAAATAACCCTAGATTACAAGCCTGAGTTTCCAGGGAGTGGATGACTCTGAATCCCAATTCTCAAATCATTTGACAGACATGGAACACTTCTGTGTTGTCTGGATTACACTTCAGTGTGTTTGCCTTCATAGTCAATTACAACTACGAGGCCCTGGTTTAGCACAGAAACGTATTTCTGGGAATTTGGTGGAAAGGAATAATAGAGCTGGAATCATCAGCACACCCCAAATCTTCAGATAATTTATTCCCATTTGATGGGTACAAGTGACAAAACAGAATGCCAAGGGAGACTTCACAAGACAATGGCCAAGGAGTCAAAGAAGAATCTGCAAGCTCCATTCGTTGAGAACGACTCTCTAGAAAAAAATGGAGCCACTGTAGGACAGTACCAACCTCCATTTTAGAAAGGTGGTCCAGAAGGATATCATGGACAACAGCATTGAAAGTATCTGAGAGGTTCAGAAGAGCCAACAAGAACACACTCTCCTTATTCACTCCCCAGTGTAGGTTGTTCCCTAAGGTGGATCCCTGATAATATTCTGCTTGATTAGTGAAGATGAAATAGGGAACATAAAAGGCATGTATTAAAGCTATAGTAATATGTTTCTTTGTTTTGCAGAAACTCTTGGGTCCTAACTGGAAGAGCTACACTGCCATCTTATTTACTCATGCGGATATGGTTGAAAAAGCTAAATTTAGTAAAGAACAATATTTGCACACTGCTTCCAATACACTACATAAGCTCATGCAGTCTGTACAGGAAAAGCACATTTTTGTAGACAATCAAGCAATAATGATAAAACAAGAAAGTTTAAAAGCTTTAAGAAAAACTTCAGAGTTTATACGGCAAAACAACTACCAGACCCTTCAATTTAAGTAAACAGTGTAAATTTAAGTAATTTATAACTTCCAAATTCTCAGCTGCTTGTTTCTATTATGTTGTTTTATGCAAATGTGTGTTTTATGTAAATGTATGATGTTTTGTCACAGCAACATTGTGTGCTTTTTGTGAGCCACCCTTCGGGGAGATGGCAGTGGAGTATAAATAAAGATGATGATGATGATGATGATGATGATTTTTCCTTTTCACTTCCCTCAGACTGGATGCCTGCTGATTTGATCATTTGCCAATGTCACATCATAAAATAATAAAATACTCAGAGGTTAATGAGAAACTGTCTAACAAATAAATCTTTGAACTCAGCAAGATGCCAGAGAAAAGGTGCCATGCACAGAATGGTAGGAATGATGAAACGAACATATTCAGAACTCTTCTATTCAAAGGAATTTGGTTCCACTTAACCACTTTGCACAGTAGTTCTGATAACTGCATTAAATGTCTTATTTCTCAGAATGTATCTAGAATCAGACGTAACTAGAACTATTTTAACAATTTGCTCATTTTCTCCTTTGTTATTAGACTTGACATACATTTGTATTTCAAAATTTATTAAACGAGGGCAAGCAATATGGCTGACTTATATTATAGTGCTGGGGGAAATGGAAGGAAAAAGGAAGAGGGGCTGACCAAGGGCAAGATGGATGGATGGATGGCATCCTTGAAGTGACTGGATTGACCTTGAAGGAGTTGGGGGTGGTGACGGCCGACAGAGAGCTCTGGCGTGGGCTAGTCCATGAGGTCACGAAGAGTCGGAAATGACTGAACAAATGAACAACAACAAAAATATTATAGTGCATGAAATTCCCCTGCACTATTTTGAACAAGGTCTGCTTGGTTCAGAATGTTAACAGTGGTGCTCAAAATAAATGCAAAATGAAACACTTTTCACAGTTCTGTTCTTGCAAAACTGGAACAACAGATTTCTTACTATCCAATTGTAGTTTGTGAGACAACAGGAACACTGGGTTCTTTTACTTATTCATAACTGCAGTTTATACTATTTCTGAAAAAAACATATCTGTTATCTTTAAAGCTTCTGTGAATCAACAGTGTGGGCAACTTCTGGCACAGTAAATGACAGTTAATAATTAAAAACCATTGAAACTGTTTGCTTGAGTCATTTTTGTATCTTGCCATCTGAGTTTTTCTATTTGGAGCTACAAATTATATCATACAGAAAAGTAGTTTAAATTTAAGAGATAAACAGATCTGAAACCATTACACTGGATATTTTACAGCACATAGTATGTTATATAAAAGTCAGTTTTATTATCTTAGGTATAGCATAAAATCTCATTAAACACTCTAAATAAAAATTCATTAAAACATACTCTTGCAGGCATCAGGCTATGATTAAACTGGGAATGAGATTTTGTTTATTTCCTAGTAATGGCCTAAGTCCAACATGAAAAAACTGCTTGTTTAGTGGGTCTGGATTTAAACATTGCTCAGTAATCGTGTGTGAGAAACAGCATACACATGCGCATGATTTGCTCAACAAAACTGTGTTTCTGCCCTAGCACTGAGTATATATTAATTTACAAATGGAGATATGAAAGCCATGGAGCCTGCCCATCATGCTTGCTTTGATAAATCCCAGGCTTTCCAAAGAAATAAAATATTGCTTTAAAAAACTGGAGAATCCTACCTCGAGAAGAACGAGTATGCTGAAACAATGTGACCTTCTCCTTATAGCATTAATAGCATAAGTTAAGTTTTAGAAAGTTGAACAGATTCATTTGAAGAGGCTGATACAGCCCACTGAAGGTCCTGGTGCTTGAAAAATGACACCCTAATCTTGAAAGTTGCCTTTCCGGGACTTTAGACATCACTGGGTAAATGGCAATAATTTTATATGTTGTATGTGCCCTCAAGTTGTTTCAAACTTATGGTGACTCTAAGGCAAATCTATCACCTTTCTTGGGTCACGAGTGTGTGATTCACCTAGGGATTACTCAGTGGGTTTTCATGGCAAAGCCAGGACTCAAATCTGGTTTCTCAGAGTTGTAGTTAAACACTCAAACCATGTTACTATGCTAACTTTAAATTACAAAGAGTTTCAAAACTCTAATTTGAAATTGCGGTATCTCTGCAACAACGGACCACCCATGGGTGAAACTCCTAGCACTTGAAAGGATTAGGCATAGAGTTCCAAATAATTACTGCTTGATGCTTTTCCCAGCGTACAAACAGCCCCTAGCCTGCCATTCACAAGATGGTAACCCCAAAACGTAAGGCCTAATGAGGTATTCTACATTCACCAGATTATTATTTTTTTTAGATTTGTTCCTGGCTCAAAATGGGAAGACTTGATGGTGTTAACTTGATAAATTTAAACTTTGTGTAACTTTTTGTTTAATTTTAATATGTTGCCATTGTGAAATATACTGCTTTGAATTTGGGCCCATCATATTTTGAAACACCCTGTATTATAACCTATTACTTAGCCCCGTTCTCGACTTCAGTTTTGCAGGCTCTGGTAGACAACAGTTCAAGGGTAACATCATAGGTAAGTGGTTCTCAACCTGTGGGTCCCCAGATATTTTGGCCTTCAACTCCCAGAAATATCAGAGGGGGGACTTCCGGTTGGCGTCCATGGAGGCAGGACGCGGCTAGGAGAGCTCCGGCTCTTTCGTACTCGACTCGCAACAGAGACCGCTGGGTAGAGCCTTTGCTCCCCTCCCCCGGCGGATAGTCACCGGGGGGTACGCATGGGCCCAGCTGGCACTTCAGGAGCCAGGGGTGCGTGAGCGGACTGGCGAGAAGCAGACTTGGTCTGCACCTACTGCCTTCCGATGTCAACAGAAATTTCGTAAATACAAGAAAGTACAGGATATTCAACAAGGGAAAATTTGGTTCCCGAAAAGAGAACGGGAAGGCGCCTTTATCCGAAAGCCCAAGCCAGAGACGAGGAACGTGGGCTAAGCGAAGGTCAGAGGGCAAAGAATAAGGAAGAATAAAGGATAAAGACTCTCTGGAAAAGTGTCTCTTCAGCAGGAGATAAACAGTAGACGCCATTTGAGGTATCAGAGTTCTACTACTGTCGGGAGCGGGAGGGGGCTTTCCCGAAAGAGTTGCGGAAGAAACGGCACAGGTCAGTTCGGTATCATATCTTTGTGCTGATCAAACTAACCAGCAATAACCTATGCAAACTGCCTATGCAAACTGCCGCTAACAGCAAACAGCTAAATAGCTAACAGCAAAGGACATTTAGATCACGAACAATAACAAGACTGCCAACACAGCAAAATCATCTTACGCGCAAGTAAACCCTGCAAACACTGTCCTCCATTTTCTGCTCCGTCTCGCCCCCTCCCTCATCCTCACCGCTATCTTCAGATCGAAGTACGCCCACTTACCTGATGAGTAGATGGATGCTTGCCTACTGAGTAGGCCATTGAGAAGAGTGGATCTCCTCGTAGGTGTCCCGCGGCTCACGGTGAGAAACCCGAGAGGAGGAGGCGGCCTCGGGAAGTGGGCGGGGCGCGGAGGTGCAAAGAGGAAGAAGCTACAGGCGCCCAAGAGAGGAAGGGACGTGGAAGGAAGTGAAGGCAGGGGGCGGGCTTAGTCAAATAAGCCAATTGGACCTGCTAACTCACAAGTCAATCACACACCCCCCTCAAAGACTGCTCAAAGTCGGCTGATCCGCTCAGCCCCTTCCAACAGCAACGCGGGTCGGCGGAGAGGGGGAGCCGCGGAGCGCCGCAGGGACGGTCAACGGCTCACTACGCCTAGACCCTGGGAAGAATATATACAACGGCACGCACAAGAGGGTAAGACGTTGTATTCGGCAAGGCCTGCGTCGCGTCGCCGCGCCGCTTAGACCTCCCCACCACCCTTTAAACATTTAACCCCATTTGTGTTGGGCAGCAAAGACAGTGAAGAAGGGGGTATCACCGCCAGGGAAGTCAGGCGGGTAAGGTCAGGGGATAGCAACCCCAGACTCCCAGTTAACATGCAGAGGGAGAGAGAGGCCGGCAAGAAAGCCAACATAGGAACCCCCTCCTCCAGTCTACCACCGCCTACCCAGACGACAAAAGGCAAATCAAGTTAAACAACTAATAGCAAGATACTGTCAACGGAGGGCAGGATGAATACCCCCAAAGCAAAGCTAGACAAAGAATTAAAAGACCCCAAGAACCCGGGAAGAAGAGGTTCGGGTCAAGAGGACATTAATATGAAAGACATCTAGAAAGAACTTCAAAAATTAACGGAAAAAATAACTGAAAACCAGGAAGAGAATAAGAAAGAGTTGAAGACCATCAGGGAAAGTCAAATCAAACAGCAGGCTCAACTTGAGTTAATCAGGAAAGAGTTCAAAGAAGATATAGGTACCATCAGAAAGGACATTCTGAAGAACACGACTGAGATAAACGCAATTAAGACCGAAAGTTGCAAGATAGGGAAAGAACAAAGAAGGATGCAAAGTGAACTGGATGAACTAACAGTTAAAAAGACAGGACAACAAAGGAGCTGGAACGGGTCCAACAAGAAGAGATGGAATATTTACTGAGACTAAGAAATCTGCAGGAAGAAACACAAGAGAACTTAAGAGCAAAAATCATCCAATTACTGGCAACTAACACCGACCTACCAGAAGGAACATTTGAGCTAGAAGTGGACCGCACATACCGAGTCCAATCTGCCTTTGCCAAACAAAACAAGCTGGCTAGAGATGTGATGGTGCGTTTCACGCGCAAACACACAAGGGATGAAGTCCTGAGACAATCGAATAAAAATCCACTAACCCTAGATGGGAAGAAAATCATAGTACTTAAAGAAATCCCGAAATCTATACTGGATAGATGCAAAAAATATTCTTTTTTAACTCAAGAATTGAAGAGACGTAGCATTAAATTCAGATGGGACAAAATGGACGGTCTGATGATCACCTTCAAAGACCAAAGACACTGGATCAAAAATGTGGAGAAGGCTAACGACTTTCTACAAAGGATTAAAAGAGACGGAATAACGACACAGGCAGAAGAATCACCAACAAAAGGAAACACAAGGAAACGGCTTCGACCCAATACTCCGACTATAGAAGAAGA